TCCCTGCTGCCATGCAGGAGACGAGGAGCCGGAGGAGAGCCAAGTGACATCCACCCCAGCCATAGAAAGAGCCACGTGTTACAACGCCCCTCTGGGATGCTGCTCTGACGGCAAGACAGCGGCTGTCGATGCAGAGGGAAGCAACTGCCCTGGTGAGTGTGTGTGAAGGGGAGGGGGGCACAGAACGATTCCCGGCTGCGCCTCGGGGCTACGGGGCTGCAAGCCGCTGTCCCCTCTGGACTAGAGCAGCCTCCCGACGTGGGGCAGCGGCTGGGCTGGGTGTCTCGCTTCCGGGTCTGCACTGGCAGCCTGTGAGCTGGGGGCGCTTGTTTGGACCTGCCTCAGCCCACATGGCCTGGGGCAGCCGTGCGTGGGGATATTGCTGCCCACCCCCTCGCCTGTGGCAGCCCGCAGCACAGCTCTGGCTGGGCCCCTGCATGCGGCAGAGAGCCTGGGCCTTGTCAGGAGGGCCCTCGGCTTTCGAAAGGATCCTCCCCGCCCCATCCCGGCTCTGCAGTAGCAGGGTGCACTCACCTCCCTTGCACTGGAGCCCGGTGCAGTAGCCGGGTGCACTCACCTCCCTTGCACTGGAGCCCGGTGCAGTAGCCGGGTGCACTCACCTCCCTTGCACTGGAGCCCGGTGCAGTAGCCGGGTGCACTCACCTCCCTTGCACTGGAGCCCGGTGCAGTAGCCGGGTGCACTCACCTCCCTTGCACTGGAGCCCGGTGCAGTAGCCGGGTGCACTCACCTCCCTTGCACTGGAGCCCGGTGCAGTAGCCGGGTGCACTCACCTCCCTTGCACTGGAGCCCGGTGCAGTAGCCGGGTGCACTCACCTCCCTTGCACTGGAGCCCGGTGCAGTAGCCGGGTGCACTCACCTCCCTTGCACTGGAGCCCGGTGCAGTAGCCGGGTGCACTCACCTCCCTTGCACTGGAGCCCGGTGCAGTAGCCGGGTGCACTCACCTCCCTTGCACTGGAGCCCGGTGCAGTAGCCGGGTGCACTCACCTCCCTTGCACTGGAGCCCGGTGCAGTAGCCGGGTGCACTCACCTCCCTTGCACTGGAGCCCGGTGCAGTAGCCGGGTGCACTCACCTCCCTTGCACTGGAGCCCGGTGCAGTAGCCGGGTGCACTCACCTCCCTTGCACTGGAGCCCGGTGCAGTAGCCGGGTGCACTCACCTCCCTTGCACTGGAGCCCGGTGCAGTAGCCGGGTGCACTCACCTCCCTTGCACTGGAGCCCGGTGCAGTAGCCGGGTGCACTCACCTCCCTTGCACTGGAGCCCGGTGCAGTAGCCGGGTGCACTCACCTCCCTTGCACTGGAGCCCGGTGCAGTAGCCGGGTGCACTCACCTCCCTTGCACTGGAGCCCGGTGCAGTAGCCGGGTGCACTCACCTCCCTTGCACTGGAGCCCGGTGCAGTAGCCGGGTGCACTCACCTCCCTTGCACTGGAGCCCGGTGCAGTAGCCGGGTGCACTCACCTCCCTTGCACTGGAGCCCGGTGCAGTAGCCGGGTGCACTCACCTCCCTTGCACTGGAGCCCGGTGCAGTAGCCGGGTGCACTCACCTCCCTTGCACTGGAGCCCGGTGCAGTAGCCGGGTGCACTCACCTCCCTTGCACTGGAGCCCGGTGCAGTAGCCGGGTGCACTCACCTCCCTTGCACTGGAGCCCGGTGCAGTAGCCGGGTGCACTCACCTCCCTTGCACTGGAGCCTGGTGCAGTAGCCGGGTACACTCACCTCCTAGGCCGGTCTCTTTGGCCGGGCTTGGAGGCGCAATGGGAGTGCTCAGGGCTGGTCCTGGCGGCAGTGAGCATGGGGGGGGCGTGGCCTGGGCTAGCCGGGTGCACTCACCTCCCTTGCACTGGAGCCCGGTGCAGTAGCCGGGTGCACTCACCTCCCTTGCACTGGAGCCTGGTGCAGTAGCCGGGTACACTCACCTCCTAGGCCGGTCTCTTTGGCCGGGCTTGGAGGCGCAATGGGAGTGCTCAGGGCTGGTCCTGGCGGCAGTGAGCATGGGGGGGGCGTGGCCTGGGCTTGAGCGAGAGGCTCTGTGCCTTCCCTTCGGGACTTGTGCTGCGCGTGGCAGCTGGGGCGCTCGGTGCGGCATCCGTGTCTCCGGAGCCCCGTGCACCTGCTCCGGATGCAGGCCCTTAGCATCCTGCTTCCAAGGTTACCAAACTAGCTCCCCGCCCCTGGGCGCGCTCCAGGGGGGTTTCCCCCAAGGTTCTCCTTGTCGCCCCCCGACACTTCATGCAATGGGGTTTCCAGGGGATGCCCCCTCTCTCTGCGTACAATACCCCCACCCCCATAAGGGGGTGCCGCCCCTCCATGTACTAACCCCAGTGCTGGGAGAATTGCTTTCTGCAGCTCCCTGGGGGGGGGGGGGGTCTCTCTTTGCAGGGCTCCTTCCCCTTCCTCGGATTTCTGGGTGGGACCTCCACAGGAGGTGCCAGGCCACAGACCCCAAAACCTGCATTCAGGCTGTCCGGTTCCCTCCCCAGCAAGGGAATGCTCCTTGCCAAGGGACCCGGTCTCCTATGGGCTTCCACAGCTGCCTCTGTGTGTTGCATGCACATGTCTGATCCTGCCTTATTGACTGTGTCCTGCTCTGGCTAACGTCTCTCTCTTGTTACCCAGCCGGTCCGGGGGCTGCAATCCGGGCCAGAGTTCAGAGGAACCCGTATGGTAAAAGCTGCCGTCTCTAGCCTGGTTTTTGCCATCTGACCCACCTGCTCCAGCAACCTCCAATACTAATCCTCCATAGCACTCTCCAGAGCCATCCAAACTAACCCAAGCCCTGGCACTACCCACACACGACCATCCTCCCCCGCCAGGGACTGAACTCAGCTGTTGGCTGCCAACTCCCTCCCCGCTGGCCAGCTAACCGAGTCTCTCTGGTTTCTTTTTCATTGCCCCTGCTCCCCATAGCCACCAAGGTCTTCCAGGGGGTCCTCATCTTGGAGGAGGTGGAGGGCCAGGAGCTGTTCTACACGCCCGAGATGGCCGACCCCAAATCGGAGCTCTTTGGAGAAACAGCCAGGAGCATCGAGAGCGCGGTGAGTTGGCTGCTCCACGAGCCGTGGCCCGGCCTTCGGCTCACAGCACGGGGCTTGGGTGTCTCGGTGTCCTTCCTTGAGCTGCTGTACCAGGTTGAATGGACCCTCTCCGTGGGCAGCGTGTGGGGAATAGAACGTGTAACCTTTGGCTCTAAGGATCACGCCTCTGGCATGGGAGCAGACGGGGAATCTTCCTTAACTGCTGCAAGTCACAGGGTCCCCCGTCTCTCTCACGCGCGGAGTTAACATGCAGCAGACACGCTCTTTCTGTCCTGCCCTGCGTCTCCACGGTGCCTGGCTGTGGCAATGCCGGCCGTCTGGTGGGAACGCTTTTCTGCCCACTGCCCCCACTCCCCAATGGAGAGGCCAGGCCTGCAATGGATCCAGAACACATTTGCCAGGATGCACCTTCCCAGAGATCACACGAGGGGTGGTGGAGATTTCTCGTGCTGACAGCCTCCCTTGGTCCCCGGGGGAGAGCAGTGCCATGCTCCTGGAAGGGGCGGGGTCTCAGGCCAAAGGGGCGGGGCTGGAGCAGCCAGCCCTTTACACCACCCAGACTGCACCACACCGTCCCCCCTCCCCCGCAGCGATGCTCCGGAGGCAAATGAATAGGCCTGGGGCTCTGGCCACCACCCCTGACACTGTGGCAGTGATGGCAACACAGAGCCATGGGCCCCTTTGGATTGCCGGGCCGCGGGGTGACTGCCCCCTTTCCCCCCTTCCGCGGGCCTGCTTGAACTGGTCTGAGCCCTGGCTGATATTCCTGGCTGTGCCAGTGAAGCCCCATGTGCCTCTGGGTAAGACCCACTCCCCACCGCGCCCACCCCTCTGTGCCTCAGTGTTCCTAGCTGTGAAACAGGAACAGTAGCACTTGGGTGCCTAGGTCGAGTGCCCTGAGATCCTCACATTCAAGTTTGCTCTGTGTTGTTATAACCAGAGCGGGGCTCAAACGCCACAGCTGCAAGCGAACTTACCCACGCTCAAGAGCGTGCATGGATCAGCACCATGGGGCTAGTTGGTTCAGGGTGCAGGTTTGGGCCTCTTAATAGCTATAAGTGTATTTGTATTAATGAGATACACACGCACCCCTAGAAAAATGACACCCTCCCCTCCCTTCCCCCCGTGTCTCTGCTCCGTGCTTAGCTCTGCCAGACACTTGGGGGAGTCCCTCTAAGTACAGTTCTCTGCTTTTCCAAGACTGGCTCCGATCACGTGGAGCACGAGCATTGCTCCCTCTGCCTTTGCCGGGGGGGCGGGCTGGCAGCGGGAGAGAGGGGGAAGCAGCGCTCTGCACCGGGTGCAGCATCCGTATGAACAGAACCAAGCTAGCTCACCAACAGCGCCTGTTCTGGACAGCAGTCGGGTGTTACATAAGTAGATGAGCCCTTGGCATAGGCAGGGCCAGCCTGAACCCTTTTGGCGCCCTGGGCTCGGGCGCACGGCGCCGCCCCCAGGCACAGGGCGCATGCACGAGCCCGCCCGT